GAAAATTTCGCCGGAAGTTGCCGAAAGATCGCCTGTTTCTGGGATTCTTCGTCGGAAACTGGGCTGGTGCCGGAAACTTCAAGGTTGGCCGGAATTATCGCCGGAAAATTCAAACTTCGCCGGAATTTTTGCCGGAATCTGGAAATTTCCCAGAAATTTCCAAAAAATTTTTTTTGCCAAAAATTTCTAGAAATTTTTTCTCACTCCCAGACCACTCCTAAACTTTTCCTAGCTTCCTATACGCCTCCTTTTCTCTCAAATCAGTAGCTTTGCTTACTGTTTTCTGTGTGTTCCAGTCTGTTCCAGGGGGGTCCCTTTTATAGGGATTGATCAGGAGTTCCTGATCAATCCCAATTCCTCCTTGGACGGGAATTCAATCTTTGAATCCCACTGGACTCTTCTGATTGAATTCCCACTTCCAATGGGATTCTTCAGCCTTCAATCTCAGCCCTCCAAAATCAAAATAAAAAAACTAGATAATTAGAAAAGAAAATCAAAATTAAAAAATAAAAATAATATCAGATAATTCGGGAAAAAGAAGATAGAATTAACAGATGATTAAAAAAAATAATAACAAATAAAATAAGATAAACCCAAAAATATATTACACAAAAAAAATAATAATAATAATATATAACTATATAAATAAAATACATATAAATCTAATCTGAATAAAAATAAATAAATAAATAAAGATATACATAATAATAATAATAATAATAGAATACATAAAATACAAAAGAAAAAATATACAGGATTGAAATGGGCCTTACCCATTTGGGCCAGGCCCAATTGATCTGGGCCCGGACCCAATTGGGTGTCTACAATATGTTGATGATATGTTGATTGTAGGACAAGATGCTAGTATGGTTTGCAGGTTGAAAGAACAATTGTCTAAGTCTTTTGATATGAAATATTTAGGTCCAGCAAAGCAGATTCTTGGTATGGGCATTATCCGGGATAGGAAAGCTGGAAAGCTATGGTTGTCACAGGAAAAGTATGTTGAACGAGTGCTTGGTAGATTCAACATGCAACATGCTAAATCAGTTAGCAGTTCACTTGCCAACCATTTTCACCTAAGTAAGAAATCTTGTCCAGTGTCTAAGGAAGAGCAACTAGCTATGTCTAGTATTCCTTATTCTTCTGCAGTCGGTTCTTTAATGTATCTTATGGTTTGTTCAAGGCCTGACATTGCTCATGCAGTTGGTGTAGTGAGCAGATTTCTTTCTAATCCAGGAAAGGTTCATTGGGAAGCAGTGAAATGGATTTTTAGATATTTGAGGGGTACCTCAAAAATGTGCTTGACTTATGGAGTTTCACAACCAGTTCTAGAAGGGTTTACTGATGCTGACATGGCAGGCGATCTTGATGGTAAGAAATCTACTTCAGGGTATTTGTTCACTTTTACAGGAGGAGCTGTATCTTGGCAGTCTAAGTTGCAGAAGTGTGTTGCTTTGTCAACTACAGAGGCTGAGTATATTGCAGCAACTGAAGCATGTAAAGAAATGCTTTGGATGAAACGTTTTCTTCTTGAATTAGGGTTAAATCAGAAAGAGTATGTGGTATTTTGTGATAGCCAGAGTGCTTTAGATTTGAGTAAGAATACCATGTACCATGCTAGAACAAAGCACATTGATGTTAGATATCATTGGTTATGTTCAGTGATTGAAGAACAGCAGATGCTATTGAAGAAAGTCCATACTGATAAAAATGTGGCAGATATGTTGACTAAGATACTTCCCAGGGAAAAGCTTGAGCTTTGCAGTAACTTGGCCGGAATGAGTTCCCTGGCCAAGGTAAGTTCCAAATGAAACTGCTATGGTGATGAATCTCCTCCTAATGGGGCTGGAGGGGGAGATTGTTAGGAAAATGGGGTCCAGTCCCATGTAAGTGGTTTTGGACCAATTAAAGGCCATGGGCCTTGATCTTTTATTTTACACAGAGCCCTAGCTACTTAATAAAAAAAGAGGTGGGGTTGTTTTATGTGTGTGTCAAAAACCAAGCAGAAAAAAGAAGAAAAGCCAAGAAAAGCAGAGAGAGAAAAAGGAGAAGGGAGAGTTGGTTGAACGGAAGTCAATCCGTGGTCCGATTGAGTTGGAACCTTGTCAGGAGGTTTATGATTCAGAGTTCTACATTCTGAACGGTGAAGATCGGGTTTGAAGCTCTCTAGGAACAAATCCAGGGTGTATTTGTTGAGTCACTTATTTGGTGAGATTTCTCCAATTGTTTCTCTAGTTGTTGATTAGCTCTAGTTTTAGCTAGAGAAGAACTTTGTATAACTATTATTTGATAGTGAAGATTTTTCTGGCGGCCCGTGGTTTTTTCCCTCTACACTGAAGGGTTTTCCACGTAAATCTTGGTGTGCTTTATTTTTCCTGCGTATTTGATTATTGATTGTTGTCTATTGCTTCTATATTGTTGTGATTATTGCTTCAGGCGCAACACTTGTAGCAGCTTGTATGGATGAATTGTACATAGTTATGTCTACTTGCATATCATAGATGGTTTTCCATGCTTGTTTTTATTGCGGTGATTTAATAATTACGTCAATGATATGTATTTTTATATGCTATATTATATGGACTCTTGTGATAGGACGTGAAATATGAATAAATTTTTTTTGACAATTTTTTATATTAATTTTGAAAATCAAAGTATTATATATATATATATATATATGAATAGTGAAGCATTCAAAAATATTAAAACCCATGCGAGTATCTTCAAATAATATGAACCAAATTGAATTTAAAATTAATTATGCCACAAATTTACATTCAATATACTTTGTGGAGATTTTTTGCTTTAAGTTGTGGCTAAATTTGTAGAAATATATCATGCAATAATGATGATGAATTTATGACATTTAAAAAGAATGACTAAAAATATAAACCAAATCAAAACATGTAAATGGCTAAAATACTATTATGTAGTTCAACTATTAGAATATATAATTTTTTAAATTTCACTGAGATCTTTAAGATTTTTTACAATTCATCTAATTAATGGGAATTTTTGGGTGGTTCATTTGGAAGAAGAGAACATGGTACTCAAAGGCCATCACTTTCCTCAAAGACCAAGGGATAAAATATTGTTGGAAGGAGCATCATTGTGAAAAAGGACAAAAGGTTTTGGCCCTCTTTTTTATTATTTTTTCATTTAGTTTTTATTGGCGTCAGCAATATAAATACATTTTCTCCGATTTGTTAATTAATTGAACATTAGCCATATTTCATCCATTTGCTCACGTCCTGATCCAGCCATGTATTAAATATCATGTTTTTAAACAGTGTGAAATGAAATTAATTAATGAAAATGCATTTGCATACATGTAAATATTTTCTTTAGTTTTAAAATTTGAATTATTTGGTTACTACATTTATTGATTTATTTATTATTTATTATAAAAAAAATGCATTTCCATAGACAAAAAATCAAAATATAAACTATTCTTATTTTAGGCCAATAATGTACAATTAACCTCATAAAGCTTGCATACTTTTTTAATAAAAAATCATTGAATTAAATCAAACAAAAAAATCGACACATAATTAAATAAATTTAATAAAAAATTAAATTAAATTCATATATGATGAGGATTGAATTTAAAAATTTAATATTATCAGATTTATAAATATTAGAATGTTGATAATGCACAAAGGTTACTTCCAAAAACACAAAAATATTTTCATTGTATCACTAAATTTTTTTTAAAAAAAAAAAACAACAATGAAAAAATAAAAAGTGATAAAGTTAAAGATTTATAAGGTGAATTAAATTGGTCATTTGTGTCTGTTAGTTTATATTTGCATCATTAATTTGTTTTATGTTACATAACATACATTTTTGCTATTCTCAAAAGATATATAAAGTAGCAAAAGATGATTTTAAAAAATATATTTTTTATAAATAAAATAAGATAATATCCTAAATAAAATATTTCTTGAGACCCTACCTAAATATTGGAGGCATTCTCAATAATTATTCCTTATGAAAAAATATTATCTTTGATTTTAAAGATTATCATGAAAATACCCAAGTGAAAAACATTTTTCTAAATTTTAAAAAGATATTGAGGAATTCAAAATGAAAAAATTTTCATTTTATTTCTAAATAAAGCGATTCTAAAAAGGATGGGAAAAAAAGGGTTTTATGATAATAAATGGGATTCAAAAAAATATTTTTAAAATTTAAAATTAAGGTCATTTTTTATCAAGAATAAAGGATAACATGTTATTAATTAGTATAATTTTTTAATGGGTACTATGAGGTGTTAATACTTTTTCACATGCAAATTGTACTCTTAAATCTAGATATCTTCTTGCATACCAAAAAAATATTTTTAATAAGTTTTAATAAGTTTTAATTAAATTAGTATTAATTAGGCATTGCTCCCGACTCCTAACAAAAGGAAAAGATGCTTGGTCCTTGTTTAGTTGTCTTCCACTAAGGATTTGAACGAGTAAAATGATAATAATGATGATAAAGGAGAATCTAAAGAAATTAAACAAGTCTTTGATCAAACTTTCTTTATAGTTTCAATCAGTCATAAAGATTTCAAGCACAACTTCTCAATATTTGTGGATACTTGAAGCTCTTTGTTCATTTGAAACAAGCTTGGTTTCTACTTAAGTTTTCTTTGGACTCAAAAAAAAAAAAAAATCTGTGTGGACCGAAATAAAAAGCCCGATTTTGGATCCTGAAAATCCATATTTCCTAGGTATATTTGTCTCTACAATAAAAGAAGCGAAAATAGTATAGCTGTATAATTTTGGTTTCTTTGGTTTCTATTTTTTATTTTATTTCATGCTATATCTATTCTGATTTGCATTTTTTAACTCCAAAAAAAGAACATAAAATTCAATGTTCTTATAATCTTATTGTCACTAATCTTTATTTCCTTTTTCTTTTAATTTCTATTAAGGATGTCCTAGACTGGTTAAAAAGGGCAGAAGAAAGAACTGGAAGAAACCCAGTGTCTGGAAGCTGAAATAGAACGTATGAAGTGTTTCAATTGGTGTCCAAGTTGGGGTTGGCGATATTGCTTACGTAAGAAAGTGGCAAAGAAGACGATCTCTATCGATAAACTACTTGTGAGTTGTAACTTTCCACGGGTGGGGCACCGTGCTCCTCTAGAAGGAATAGAATTCTTCACCTCTAAAGATTTCATGCCTAATGAGTCTTCAAATTTTACTTTCAATGAGATCATCAAGGCTCTAAACACTGATGGTGTGAACATGATTGGATTGTATGGAATGCCAGGGGTAGGCAAAACAACTTTGGCAAAAGAAGCTGGGAAGCATGCTAAAGAGCAAAAGCTCTTTGACAAAGTTGTGATGGCTACAATGTCCCAAGCGCCAAACCTCAGCAAAATTCAAGATAAAATTGCAGAATTATTAGGTTTGAAATTTGAAGCAAGCACGAAAGAAGGAAAAGCAGAAGAGTTACAGCGGAGATTGCAAGGCGTGGAGAAGATCCTCATAATTATCGATGATGTTTGGAATGAATTTAAATTGCAGACTGTAGGTATTCCATTCGGAGTTGAACACGGAGGTTGCAAAGTTCTTCTGACCACACGTCTTTAACAAGTCTGTGTTCGTATGAATTGCCAACAGAAATTTAAACTTGACATCTTATCCGAAGGTGAAGCGTGGGCTTTTTACTTGACATCTTATCCGAAGGTGAAGCATGGGCTTTGTTCAAAGATACTGTTGGTCTAAAAGATGTTTCTTTGAGATTGAATGATGTAGCCAAGGAGGTTGCTAGTGAATGCAATGCAATTGCAACAATCGGAAAAGAATTAAAAGGTGCAAGTCTAGATGGGTGGAAAGCAGCAAATAAGCGACTCAAGGACTCAAGACATTTAGACAATGAAGAGGTTTCTCAAGGTATCTACAACTGCCTTAAGCTGAGTTATGATTATTTGAAGGGAGATAATATTCGAACATGTTTCTTGCTATGTTCCCTTTTTCCAGAAGATTGGGATATTGATATTGAGTCGTTGGTTATGTTTGCAATTGGTCATGGATTATTTTCTCATATTTACTTAATTGAAGACTTGCGGAGAGAAATTCGTGAAGCACTAAGAAAACTCCAAGAGGCTGGTTTGTTATTAAGAACTGATAATGATGATGATGAAAGATATGTAAGCATGCATGACGTGGTTCGTGATTTTGCTCATTGGATAACATCTACGGGGAAAAATATATTCATGGTAAAAGAGGGGTTGATGGAATGGCCTATAAGTGAAAGATGTGAATCCCATACAGCAATCTCCTTTTGGAACAGCAAAATAAATATTTTTCCTGAAAAGTTAGAATTTCCAGAACTCAAAATTTTGATTTTTACAGGAAAGACTTTGGTGGAAGCCGCGATTGCATTTGTTGAAGGAATGAAAGCCCTCCGAGTTTTGCATCTCCAAGATGTCATTTTCTCACTAGAAGTACTTAAATTCGTAACAAATCTTCGAACTCTGTGTCTAGTAAATTGTGAGTTGGAGAACATCTCATCGTTGGGAAATTTGAAAAACCTTGAGATTCTTGCATTTTCTGATACTAATATTTATGAGCTACCCGAAGAATTAGTGGCATTGCGAACAGATCAATTTCCCCCTAATTTACTATCAAGGTAATAGTAGATGTCAATTTCTTTTTAGCATATTGCACAAAATTAAGTATTTAGTTTTATGTTATTTATTTTTCTTTTATTTATTAAACTATGGGATACATATCTAACATAAGCTTTCGGTCACTCCCATTATTATGAACCATTCGAAGTTGTAGCCCTTTTTTTAAGAAAAGGTGCTGAAGAATCAGGCTATATTTGCTGAGATAATTAAAATTAATTTGTGTTTACTTCTATTTTTATGATTCGCTTGAAGTGTTTGATAATAGTTTTTTGTATTTGTGTGTAACAAACAGGTTGACATCACTCCAACAGCTACACGTGACTTGTGAAAACAATGTTAATTTATCAGAGTTGAATTCATTGTCTCGATTGACTGAACTATCACTGAGAGTTTCTACTGCTCAATGTTTTCCAGAAAACTTTGTGTTCCCTAAATTACAAAGCTACATTATAGCTATAAATGAAGATCTTCAATTTATGCCGGAGCTAAAATTGAGAACCTTGAACATCGGACGTTTCTCATTTCATTTAGTGCATTCAAGGAGTTGTTATGCAATGTGGAAAATTTGAATCTGGAGGATGTCAAGGGACACAAAAATATTGTCCCAAACGTAGATCCAAAGGGCCTAAATGAATTAACTTCTCTTGAGCTTGGAGATTGCGATGATATGGAATGCTTGATGGATACAACAGGAGAGAAAGAAAGAACCACTGCATTCTCTAATTAGGTGAAATTAAGAATGGAGGACATGACTTGTTTGAAAGGATTGTGCCATGGTCCGCCTCCGATTAGCTTCTTATAAAAGTTAAAAGATGTGACCATTGGAGATTGTAAGCGGTTGAAAGTGGTATTTGAAATGGATGTGCTTCTTGAAAAGGAAAAATTTAGTCAGATGCCACTACTCTCAAATCTAACAAGCTTGTATCTATACCTTTTACCAGAATTGGAGAGTATTGGAAATTACAATCAACCCATCAATATCATGCAAGCCTCCAAAGTCTAAAGGTTGTAAACATTTGGAACTGCGGTGAATTGAAAGCCATCTTCCCGCCTTGCCTTGCTCAAAGTTTGTTGCATCTACAAGAACTCTCCATACATTTCTGTAATGGATTAGTGCAAATCATTGATTTTCCCTATGAAATGGGTGAGCTTGAGGTACCTATTCTCTTTCCATTTCTCCTTTAATGAATAATGAGAAATTACTAAACTTCATATATTGATCATATAGTTAACTTCTGTTGAAGTTTAAAAGAAATAAAGTTTAATTAAATTATATTAGTAACTAAACTAAATTTATACTTATTACATGCCTTACAAGTTAGTAACTAAACTAAATTTGTACTTATTACGTTGCTTGCAAGTTGAGAAAGCTAACACTATATACCATGTCATGTCTTAACTATATTATTTGTCACTATTCATGCTTTCTAGGTTCTAGTTATATTCAACTTAATTTGAATTGTTTAAATTTCTACAATAATAAAATTTTAGTGAATTTTCAGCTAAATACCAAAAAATTTTGTTACTAATTATTATTTTTTGATCGAAAAAGTAAGGGTCAATCTTTAAATAGTTAATATTAATAATTTTTTTATGATAATGTTATATGGATATAAAAAATACATCATTTATTAAATTGTAAAAGACATTTATATTAATAGAATATTCATAAACTATTAAATCTTATAAAGTTGAACCAAAAATAAAACATCAAATAATAATAATTTCATTTATATATATATTTGATTGAACAATAAACCATATATAATTATTAATTTGTTCATAACCATTTGCTTTTATTTGTTCTTATTTTTACAAACTTTAACATATATATTTGCTTTTTATTAAAACATAAATCAAAGATACATGTACAAAAAAACCAAATATACAAATTGAGAACGCATATATAGTTAAAATCTTTTGAACTTATTCATAACAAATATCCAACTTAACTAAATATATAAAAATATATAAATCAAATTTTTTTAACAATAAATCAAATCAAATGTAAATATCATATAATAGAAATAAAATCAAATAAACAGTTTGAAGGAACAAACAAATGAAGGAAATAAAATAAAATATGAAAAAAGGTAATGATCCATACCTATTACCGAGTTGAAACCAATCCAAATGTATGTACGTTTTCTTTCCATTTTTGAAATTTGATAAAAAAAATTAATGTCATTTAAGCAAAAATTATATAAAAGTAAAAGCAATTCAACACCATCACATATTTATTTTTGCAAATAAAAAAGAAAATAAAAAAAAGAATAATAAAGGCAAAAATGAACTTGTTCATAGTATGATGTGATTTACTCTTCTTTCTAACTTTTGTCCATTCCCGTGAAAACCAATAAATCATAACCTTCAAGTAAAAAAAAAAAAAAGCTTGTATTCTTAAATTTTTAATTCTAATAACAACAAATAAAATAAGCTTGGCTAGAAGGTGACCTCTCACTTTATAAACTCTTTACTTTCAATTTTAGATTCTATTTCATCAAATAAAAATTTATTAAGTGTGTATATATATATATATATATGAAATTATGATTAAATTTAAAAAAAAAAAGATAAATTATGATTTAATATATTTAAATTCAAAACTTATATAAAATTTTCAACTTTTGGTAGAGTTTGATTTGAATTTAAATAGTCATCCAAAAATATTAAATTTAGATAATTTATTAAATAGAATTATTTGACGGTAGATAAAAATATATTAAGCATATAAATACATATATATTTTTGGAACAATGATTAATGTAAAAAGAAAAAATAAATTATAATTTAATATATTTGAATTTAAAATTTATGCAAAATTTTTTTATAGATTTTGATTTGAATTTAAATAATTATTCTAAAATATTAAATTTAAATAATTTATTGAATAGAGTTATTTGATAAATAATATAATAATATAAACATTATCCTACAAAGAAATTATTTAAGTAAACATATATATCAGCACATCTTATTTGATAATCTAATATATATATATATATATATATTATAACAACATACAAGATTACATGATCAAAATTGCTTATGTAGATGCCTAGGTGGATAACCTATTTTAATAATGTATAAGATAATATTTATATTATTTTATTTATCAAATAAAATTTTTAATAATTATTTAAATTGAAACATTTTGCATAATTATTTAAATTGAAATCAATATCTATCTCATATTGAAATTTTTGAATAAAATTTGAATTCAAATATATTAAATCATAATTTATCTTTTCTTTTTAAATTTAATGATGGTTTCTAATATATATACTTAATAAAATTTTATTTTCTGTCAAATAATTCTACTTAATAAATTATTTAAATTTAATATTTTTAGATAATTATTTAAATTCAAATTAAAATCTATCAAAAATTAAAAATTATTTAATAAATTATTTAAATTTAATACTTTTAGATAACTTAATGAATTATTACTAAAAAGCTTGTATTTTTAAAGAATAAAAGCTTACATCTTTATTTGAAAATATGAGACATTTGAATGTTGATAAAAAAGTTAGATAAAAATATAATTCTACTTTGAAAACAAATATAATGTTTTATTTATGTTCTAATTCAAATATTTTTATGTTATATATTTGGTTAATTTATTTGTTTTTCTTTAATTGATAACTTTTTTTAGTTTTGCTTAGATTGATTATAATTAAATTTTTGTATTATATATTTTTTGTTTTATTCATTTCTTCAATGTTTTTATTCTTTGTTAATTTATTAACATATTTACTTTTATTATATATATTTAACCTTGATAAATTAATATGTAAATTTATATTCTCTATTTTCTTTTGTTATACTTTTTATTATTGAATTTCTTTGTCTACAATAGATGATTTGAGAAGAAATAATGATCCCTAGCATATCTAACTCACAAAAGATATTATCAATTATGTTAAAAAAATTATTAAAAAATAAAAAATATATTTCAAAAAAAAGGTTTTAAAGTATAACATAAAGATTATTTCCCTTTTATCTAAAACAAAACTTTATTGTTGACATTTATAGAAAATAATTGTTAACTGCCCAATATATTTATGTATATTACTTGAAGTAGTCAAAAATAAACTAATAAAAAAGCAAATGATTATAACAAAATTATCAATTGTGATTGTTATTCAATAATATATATATATATATACACACATCCACATAAATCACATTATGATAAAAACAATTATTAAATTTTACTATTTAAATACTGATTCTTGATTTTTTTTTCAAACAAGAAAAAAGCGGTAACAAAAATTTTAATATTAGGCAAATAAATAAAAAATTATTTCAATAAAAAAGGGATTTTTATAATTTTTGAAAATTACAAAAGTTTAGATTGGTTTTAGGTGAACAATATTATTTAAATATATTATATATAAATTATTAATTTAATTAATAACTTAGCATTTATAAATATATGATTATATATTAGATAAATAATTAAAAATAAATTTAAAATTATGAAAATTTTAATTAAAATTCTGTACCTTGTACGGGCTAAAAAAAGCTAGTTTTATAGATTGTAATATATATATATATATATATATATATAAATATGATTTGGTACTTTTGAAGTCATATATTCTTTGACCATTGTAACTTATTCAAAATTTAATGAAACTATGATATTTTTATATTTATACAAGAATTGCGAATTCTCTGAGTTTGAACAAAAAAATGTGCGATACTATTATTAATTGAGAATATATTTCAAATTCAAAATGGACACTTATTCTCAAACGATAAGATTTTAAATCTAAAGGGTATACATGAGTTCTAAGGTCCCATCACAATTGTAAGCCTTCCTTATCTTAAAGACTTAAAAGTGTCAAATTGTAATAGGCTGAAATCTCTCTTTTCTTCTATGCTTGCTCCAAATTTGCCGCAATTGAAAGTTTTGGATATAAAGTGCTGTGAGGAGTTGGAAGCAATCATTGAAATGGACCAAACTTCAATAGCAACATCATGAAAGGGTCATCTCCAACCTATTTCCTTTCCTAGTCTTCAATGTATATGGATTTTTGGGTGCAGCAATTTGAAAAGCTTGTTTCCTATTAGTGTCACTCGTTCTCTTTCAAACCTCGAAAGAATCGAAATTGGAGGGGCTTCTAAACTAGAGCAAGTCTTTGGGTATCAAGGTGAACTAAACATTGAAGATGATCAAAAGGGAACAGTGCTCCCTAAATTCGGACTATTGAATCTTTCTGAGCTATCAGACCTAAAGAGTTTTGCTCCAATTGGTTATCATTTCCGATTCCGTACTTTGACGTTTTTCAAGAAAACCAAATCTCCCAAGTCGACCGCAAGTGTCATCATGGATTCAAAACATCCTGTGCATGCCATAACAGAGGTACCTATCCGACTTTTTTTCTAACTATTATGCTTAATTAATTAATTTGTTGTTCTTGATCATATTGATAATAATGATGAAACGATGATGGAAACAAAAGTTATGTTAGTATATAACTACATATTATTTGCATACACGTAAATATTTTCTTTAGTTTTAAAATTTGAATTTTTGGTTACTACATTTATTGGTTTATTTATTATTTATTATAAAAAAATGTATTTCCATAGACAAAAAATCAAAATATAAACTATTCGTATTTTAGGCAAATAATGTACAATTAACCGCATAAAGCTTGCATACTTTTTTTTATTCTTTTCATTTTCGATTTTTCTTAATATAATTAAAAAGAATTC